GGCTCAAACGTGTTTGATTCCATGATTCTGAAGTACCCCTTTCCCCCTAACTTTTTATAGGATTTTATTCTTGATGGCTCCCATCACAAAGTGAAATAATATATGGTAAGAGTGCATGACACAACATATTATTGTGTAAGCTACCATGAAATCTTAAATTAACTGTGCTGTGAGGAAATGCATCAAGTCACTCTGGGTCACCACATCAAACCCTTGTAGCACTGTAAGACAGTACGAAGCGTAAGCTTAAATAACAGTAGACAGCATGAACAAACAGTAACCTCAAAATAACTGCACAGGGCAACTTTTCAAGAGCAATGAATCTGGAGGTGGCATCAACTTTGTTATTAATTCTAATCAGTCAAAGGTGGGGTTGTAACCTTACCCGCATATCGGCAACAGCTTCAGGGAATTATTCTGTCATTTTCGTAGACTGCATGGTGCAAATATTAAGCTTGATAAACCCTTTCATCCTAGCTGCAAGGAAAATTGCTGATGTGGTGCACTGAAATAGTGTCCACTCTCCCAGTCAGGCAGAGGGAGCCACCGCAGCCCGTGCTCTGGAGAGGAACAGCCCACATGTTATTAGGAGCCAGACCATGGTCCCACCTTCTTGTTGAAGCAAACAGGACGTAATGTCATGGAAGTAACAAAGCTCTCTATAGCTTAACCCGGGGGGCAGATGTGCAGCATCCCCGCCCCAGCACAGGTGCCCTGTGGCAGGAGCTCAGCTGTGTGTTGAATTCAACGTCGACAGAAAGTGGCTTCTCAGGCTGGCTACTGGTTTAATTGTTGATTCCAGGTACATGGAGCTAATCCCAGCACTGCCAGCAGGACCTTTTTTGTTCCCATTTGAAAACAGAATGATAAATATATTGCCATGTTAGCTTGGCTGCCTCAAAAAAAAAAAACATAGTCTCCTTCACCAAATCTCTATAATTTAGTTTGCTTCCTCCGATATAACAAAGACCAAAATTCAGCTTGCAACTCTGCCTGCGTAGTTCTGACCCAGGACTGGGGGCAGGGGAGAGATAGGAACGATATCCACTGTGGTGCATGTCTTTCACAGAGAAGTGGCAACTCTCATGACGCTGGTAACAGTCCACAAAGCTCTAACTGAACATTAAACATAATAAAAAACCCCACAGTGAAGTAAGATGGCAATTAATTGTACTTCTTAGGTAACTTGCCCAGCAATCGAGTATTTGCACAACACTCAGCCGTGATTCCGCAGCCTGTGCAAACATAAAACAAACAGACCGAAAAGCTGTCATCAAGACCTAACAGAAAGTTGCAACATATACAAAGGCTCATTACCTCATTAAAAATGCTTCAAGTTTAAAGGAGTGAGAACAGCAATTAAGGGCAACCATCAGAGGTCTCACCAGCATGTAAAATACAGTATGCAGTGAGGTGAATGGGTGCAAGCACCAAGCCCACCACACTGCAGCCTAATCCTGCCACTGCCGTCCCCCCGAGCCAGGGGACAGATGATGTGGGGACCCACGCAGCCACTGCACCAGGATAGGTCGGGATGGGACGGGATGGGACAGGGTAGGCATCTGCCCAGTCCAGCGGGAATGCTCCTGCGTCACCTCCCGCTGCCCTGGCTTTGCTCCATGCCCATCACTGTGGAGCCTGAGAGTCCAGCCTCCAGGTTTTCATTGGGCTTTGACGCTCCTTCTCAAATAGACCATTCCTTCCAGTTATAGTTTTAATTAATTTAGAATGAATTGTTTGGGTCTCTTAATTTCCCAGCTTATTTTGAAAAAGTCCAATTAATGCTGAGCTAAGTAGCTCCAAAGGCTTCCCAGCTCTCATCTGCCCTGAAGGAATCCAATTAGAATGAGACACTAGTCAAAATGTCAAACCACAATTGTTTTTAAGTTCGTTGTGCAACAAATCTACGGCTACAAGTAAACCACACGATTACTGAATAAAACACACAATACTTGGAAACCTAAAGCCTAAGATGCCCTCACTCAAGATGCAGCCTCCCCTGTCAACCAAGAGCATGTTCAGAGCTTACAGCAAACAATAAAAGTTGTATTTCCTTTTACAAGACAATTAAAACCAAGGAGTATAATGAAATGTGTAAATTAGACCATAATACATGATAAGGGCTGAAATGTAGGAAAGACAGTCCAGAAGCTCTGCTGCCTGTGGAGTTGAAGGACTTCTGAGGCAGCACAGGCTGAGGCTGGTAAAGCTGCACCATGCAGAACTGCAGAAATCTCTGTGTTCTGCTTCCAGAGCCACACGGGTGCACTGGCAATCACTTCAAGGGTCTCCACAACAGTGGCACACTTTAATTTGGAATCCTTGCAATCCACTTACAATTTTTTTCTGTATTAGCTTTCTCAAACCTTTAGAGAGCACAGTAAGGTCTCTCTCATACACGCATCCCTCACTAGATAAAGTCTTTTTCCTGATTTCAACTTATTTGCTTGAAAAATCCTAACTCTTTCAATACTCTGGAAGTATTTTGTCTAGCTCTGGAAAAGGAACAGATATTAAGTCATTGTTGAATGGGAGACTCAATTAAAAACTGAGACAGGTCAAAATTTCAGATGAGGGTTTGTTTTTAATGAGCTGTAACTCTAACGCAATTCAATTAATCTTCTTGACTTCTGCAGAAAATTGTCCCCCTCTTTCCCGTCAGTCAAATGAATTTTTCCACTCAAACCATCAGGATCCCTGAGAACTTGGTCTGTTTCAAAGGGACTTTTTTTTATTTAACCTCATTGCCCTTGTAATGTAAACACCAGGTTTCCCACTCACTTCGAAGTTAAATTTCAGCAGCAGAGAAAGGGATCAGAAACACATGTGTCTTAGGAACAGCACTCTCCTTTGGGCAAACCCATCCAAGAGTCCTTGGTCTCAGCACACCTCCAAGGAGCAGCAAAGGAGCTGGTAGGAGACCAGTCCAGAGGGTGCCTGAGACAGCACGGAGGGCACCATGACAGCACTGGGTGCTGTTGGTCCTCTCTGCCTCCAGGCTGCTGATGCCTCCCTCCTGGGGCAGGGAGATACTATCTTCTGGATCTGCCCAGAAGAGCACTGCAGAGAGCAAATGACCCTTTGGGGAAGCTGCTGCACAACTAGTGCGTTTCTCATACCTAAAGCACTCTGTGAGCCTCCGGGTTCCTCTCCCTCTGTCATTTTGTGGGAAAGAAGATCTCCTTTAGACTAAAAATCGCACAAGAAATCTCACAGGAGGTGATTTTGTCATATGGTTTTGTATCCTTCCGCCCTTCCCACCTGTGAAACGAACAGAAAAATGGTAAGACCTTTTTATTTCCATTTGTGCATTACTTGAGAATTGAAATGCAAGCATGTCTTGTCCTGCAAAACTGAGAAAAACAAAGGCTTCAGTATTTCTGTCAGGCATAAGGGAAGAGAAATTAAGATCAGCAAGCACAGTAGAAGTATGTTCCCTGCCTGGCTGTAGCAGGTAGGTACGGTGCGGCAGTTTTGACGCTAAAGCGTTCCCTGACAGTCGTCCCTCCACAGGATCTGAGGCACTGCAGCAAGTGGAGGCAAACGCTGGAGAAGGGCTGAAGTACCACAGTGTGGTAGCAGCTGGTAAATGTCTTTCTAAACGTAATGTTATACGTGAAAAAGACAGAGTACCAAGAAACAGCAGTTTTCACCTCATCAGAAGCAAGCGATCTCGGCTTGAAGAGGAGGCACGAGAAAATGAGGGCAGAATTATCTGCACAGGCCTGAAAAAGACCAGAGACATTAAACTGCGAATGTTCGCTCTTCCTAAGACTCTCCATGTGACTTTATATGATTCCAGCAGTGCAGAGAATCAACATGCGTTTCTATGGACTGCCACTTGTGTCCCCCAAATTAAACATTTTTTTGAGTTTCTTATGATTACCTTCTAAATAACTGACGTGTGACAGGCTTGTCCAGGAGTTGTGTAGCTGTATTTACTAAGTATTCAGCATATACTGTTCCACTGAAGTTTGCTTAGTAATGCATACCTAATAATGTGCAAATAATTAAAGGAAAACTGTCACATTCTCTTCATGTACCCCCATTTTGTTGGCAGCATGCTGCTGCTGCTTCTTAAATTCACCTCTCCTGACCTTTTTCCTGGTCAGCTGGGTTCCTCCTTCCACTCCTGAGCATCGGAATTTTATTGTAGGGCTTCTCTGAGTTGTCTGTCTTAGATGGAGCAGGTTCCCCAAGTTAAAGGTCCCTGCCATGGCCAAGTGTTTCTTCACCCAGAGGACACTCTAGACTACACTTTGAGCTTGGAACAGCCACCTCTCTCCATGCCTCTTAACAAAATACAGTATCTTACAGATTTTTTTGCCCTATAGCAGCTCTCAGAGTGATGTTCAGCAGAGCTGTGAAGGGAAGGTAACAAAGTTAGTCCCAGCTGTCTGAATTCAACACCACATGCTGTCACAATGTCCTTCAGGAGTTTTGCTGATGTTTGTGCATTGGCCACCAGCCCAAACCTCAAAGCAGCATAACTAAATGTGGCTCCAACCTTTAGGGGAACCAAGTCAACCCATGGATCGCAGGCTCAGGGGTCAGCTCCAGCAGAGAAACGCTTTTGTGTAAGTTCTTCAGTTAGGCTGGGCAAGTGCTGAACGTGGCAGCATGGGTTCGTTACATGCTGGGCGACCAAAGGATGGCACGATGCAAGTCACGTACGCTCTCAATAAGCCATCCGAGACTCGTCAGCAGGTGAGTTACTTGTTGATGAAATACAGGAAGAAGAACTGCATTTGATAAAGAAATGTTAATCTTTGTTCACAGACTTGCCACTTGTTATTGTACACATACACAGAAGGAAAGGGCATCAAATAGGTTACACATTGTGCAAATGCTTTCTCAGCTCAACCTCATATGATGTCAAACCTATTTCTTTTCTGGCATATGTCTTTTTGCAAACACTTCTCTACCTGTATGAATAAATGATCAAGGATTTGGGAAAGCAGCGGGTCCTTATTACAGCACTTACTCCTTCTCTGTTACAGGAATGACCTGCCAAGCTCGAAGTTCATACATTACAAGTGAGATCCTGTGGGGTTACCGTTTCACCCCTGTCCTCACTCTGGAGGATGGATTTTATGAAGTTGACTACAACAGTTTTCACGAAACATATGAGACCAACACACCAGTTTACAGTGCCAAAGAGCTGGCAGAGATGGCCAGCCGAGCAGAACTACCCCTGACATGGTCTGTTTCCAGCAAGCTGGACCAGCACGCTGAGCTGGAAACTGAAGAGGAGGAAAAGAATCAAGAAGACCAAAATGAAAGAAATGGTGATGTGGCCAACTTGGAGAATGAGTCCAAAGTGTAGAACCACTGGAGGTGTAAGGGCCACACCACCTCCTTTATCTTCTCCCTCTTTGCTCCCCTTTCTTTCTCCAACACGCCTTTTTTTTTTCTTCCTTGTTAATTACAGGAAAATAAATACTTAAGATGCGAAATATCTACCTGTCCAATTTAAACTCAAGAGATTCACAGACTAAGCAAAGGCATGGGTTAAAGCTGCAATACCCATTATTGATGGTGGAATCTCGATCCCCACCCTGGTAATGACTGCTGGCTTCTTCGGCATGTCTCTGAGTCCAGAACTCCAGGTTTATTCCCATCAACCAAAAAAAAAAAAAAAAGTAATGAGAATATATACACAAGAGATTTAAAAGGAAAGACAAATTAATGCTCATCAAAGCAATGGGCCTTGGCTTCAGTTTTTACGTATTTCAGGACAGTTTCACAAACTGGGTAACTCTATGAAATGGGCCTTGCAGCTTTAAAATGAAGGTGAGCAGAGGGATCTGCAATCCAACACAATACTGTACATATGCCTTATGTAATTACTTTCTCTTTACATTTAGTAATAAACACCGCATGTACAAAAGTACTGTAGTAAAGAACTTTAAATAATGTACATAGATGTGTAATTAATGTAGGTTTAGAAACAGAGTTCTAGAAATACTGGGATGCAAAAACTAATTACCCGTCGAGTAGGCATTTCTTTTCAAATATTTGGAGTGTAATATTGATTTTTCTTCCCCTATACCTACGGCTCTTCTAGTGCATGACATTTTCTTCAGTGTACCAGACTGGCAGCTATTTAGAGTACCTCACTGTTTGCCAAACAGATTGTTTCACTGACTCTAAAAAGCCATAAGTCTGGCAGAGGGCAGGGTAGAGAAATTGTAACATAATTACTGATATACTGTGAAAATGTTTACAAATAAGGCAAACTGTTCCTGGTTATTTTTTTGGCAGTCCAACCTAAAATTTAGGCTGTGGCAAACTCACGGCAAAACAGAATTTCCTGTATACTCTTAATATAACGAGCATGTTTCATGTGGACATATTATCCTTTATGTGCAATATCTAGGGAAACTTCTCCCTTCTCCCCAACCAAACTATGGGATTTCAGTGGAGTAGCTTGCTACGCGAACAGCACAAGCCATTGAAAACCAAATGTTGCACCTTAGCAAGTAGATTTTAGCTACTCAGCTGGGAAGGAAACAGCTGGATCTCATCTCAAGCCGTAATCAATAAAATTAATTTGTTGACAGCGCCGGTGCTTGGCCGGTCCTGCAGAGTCACGGATGGTGCGACATCCCTGGGTACATGCTTCAACAGGATTTCTCAGCTAAACACACGGTCCCTGCCACCCATGCTCAGGAGAGTGGTTCCCTAACAACTTTCTTTACCTTAGGTTAGCTCCTTGGCTGTTGTAAATCCGTGTAAATCCTGTACATTCCGACTTGACAACTTTAAAACTAACGGGGCAGCGACACTTTGCATTGCTTGCAAGGCAACGCTCATGTGAGTCAGGGAGCTGGTGTGCACGGTCACAGTGTCATGGACACGTTCCTGGAGGGGCCGCTCACACGGTGCGGCATTGCCCAGTGCTAAGGAGCACTCAGTCAGGCCCAGCGTGCATAAAATACTACCTGTTGAAAAAAGCATTGCTTTTGGTGGGCTTTCGCGCAGGCCCATCAAGAACAGCATTGCTGTCAGCAAAGGAGAAGAAGCTGCAGCCTTAATTTTGTTTTATTATACCTGCCTACTCCAGAAAGGAAGAATACAATGAAGAGAATCTGAAGCATTTTTGTACAGAAACATTTACGTCAAAATAGAAGAGAAAAAAAAAATAACCTCAGGAGAAACTTAGTGGGCAGGTGGAAATTTTGCACTGTGATATAGCTTTCACATTAATTTCACACCGATTCTCGATTTTTTTTTCTGAAACAACTGCCCCTTGCTAATTTTCACAGTGTGTGGCTGATCAGTGGGGTTTCTGCAGGTCCTCCAGCTGTCCTTCACTCTGAGGTGGGCAGCGTATGGTGTGGGGAAAGGGTTGCGCACCAGGGACGGACTGGCAGATCAGGCTGGATGGAAAGAGAGGTTTTTGTTTCAGCTCTGAACGTTCTCCCTAGAAGGCTTTCACAAAGCAGCATGATGTAAGGAACGGTGCAGAATATGGATTTTTGTTCCCTCCACCTGGGCTGGTTGATTCTGCCGACTCGGTAAAGGTTACTTACACTTAACTTTTGTGAAATAATACTAATTTTGTTGCAGATCTTTCAAAGCTCGTTCTTCTGCCCCAGCATCAGCAGCTGCCGAGCACTCCAGTTCATCCATCACACACACACACACCCCCCCTGCAAGGCTACACATGAGAGGTACTGAGCATTTTTAAGGAAGGGTGGCTCCCCAGCTCCACTGGAAGAGAGAAGCCTTAGAGCAGAGGAGCCGGGGGGAGCGCGGCATCGGTAGCGACGGGCCACCCACCTGTGTCAGTCCTAGCAAAAGGCGCATGAGCTGAAAGCAAAGCATCCCTCTGAGGATAAACCTGCTTTTTGCTCTTGTAATTTACTGGGCCACCCTATTATTCATTGCTGCAGTTTAACAAAAGTTTGCATTAATTAGAACAGCAGCTCAGGGCCCTAATTAAACCTTTTTTGTGTCCTTCACAAAAAAAAAAAATAGACTTTCTGCCACTGGGGCATGCGCATGTGTAAGCTATATTTTTGTGAATAGGGCACTTAAAGCTTAAGGTGTGTGTGTTCGTCTCTTTCTCTCTCTCCCCCTGTATTTTATTGTCTTTGGTATTAATGTAGTATGGACTGTAAAGTTTATGAAATCTCATTTTTGTAACATAAGCTTAAAAAAAATAGAAGCCTCCAAAGCTTTCAATGGGGAAGCTTCACATAAACTTTGTACTAGAATGTCCCTATCAAACACCTCTATTTTTCTACAATGATTGATTAAGCAGTTTAACAATGTATTTTGTGTCAATGATTTCAACTGAACTGGTAAAAAGACAATTAAGAATTGAATGCTGTTAATTAACAATGGATTTTCAAGCCGTATATACTGAGTGGTGTTTTCATTAACAGTGAATAACTTAACCTGGGAACTTCATCTCCTAATCCAAAACAATGTATTATGAAATAGCAGTGCCCTGTGGGAATATTTTTGGCAAACCACATTGAAGGAACATGAATAATGCAACATTTTAATATACTTGACTACATAATGAATCAAGACCCATTACATCTCTGTATACTTCACTAATACATTTTGATGTCTCTTTCTCAGAGTATCTTGTGATTTCCAGGAGCAAAAGAATTTGCAGAGGTAAATGGGAGCTCTCGGTAATCTATTGCAGCTCTCAATTCCTTCTTCCAATGAAGACAAATGCTGCAGAGGCGCTTTGTACAGCCTTCATGCACAGTGTTCCACAGTCCTCTCTGTCTCCTTCTCACGTATTTTTTATTTCTTTCATTAACTTTTTTTTTTCCACTAACACACTAATTGTTTCGCCCTTGCCCAAGTTTCCAAACCAGATCTTTCAGGTGTTGATAACAGACACAGACATACTGCTTTTAATGGAGCAACATAAATTTATACCGAGCAAAAATTTGACCTTCAGCAAATGCTTGAAGCTCTGGCTTATTATTTAGCAGCAAATACCATCTCCCCAACACTAAAATAATCTTCAGAAATTATTTCAAAATAGGCATCAAAAAAAGCAAACATTCTCTCAGCAGTATATAGCTGTTATGATCTAGATCTTCACCCTACAAAACCATAGTCGTTGGCATTGATGTGAGCCACCCCAACAAATTTAACTTCTGTGATCAAAGTTGAACATCTGTTTCTACGAAGGGCCTTTCTGCAAGCGCGCAGGTACCTGCAGCGTATGCAGAGAGGACTGCACAGCCCTGAGGCAGAGGTCTACGTGTCTCTTACATGGCAGAGGAAGGAGGTGGCCTGCCAGAGAGGGGTCCCCAGCAGGCAGCTGTCGAGCCAGGTGGGACCACATGCTGGCAAATACAAGAGCAAAACGCTTGACGGATGGTTGGAAGGTGACTTCAGAACAGGCTCTGGATTTAACCCTGGTGCACAGTGGTGCCCAGATCTGGGGTTGCCCATGTTCCTCTGCTGGAGGGCAAGAGGAAACTTAGGCCTCCTCCAAACCAGGGAGGAAATCCCTCTTCTCTTTTCAGCCACAGGGCAGAAATTGCCATTTGCTCAGCTGCACGGTATTAGGCTACTTAGGAGAGGGGAGACATGGATTCAGTGCTGTCTTCAGCCCAGGAGCTTGAAAGCCACATCCCACTTCTCCTGAGAAACTAACCCCGCCATAACAGCAACATCAGAGCCCCAGGACCTATGCCAAGGGCTGACAGGCTTTTGAATTCTCCCACTAGCCCAAAGAAACTTTAAATCATAGAATCATAGAATGGTTTAGGTTGGAAGGGACCTTGAAGATCATCGAGTTCCAACCCCTGCCATAGGCAGGGACACCTCCCACTAGACCAGGTTGCTCAAATCCTTGTTTTTTTAACAGAAAAATTAAAAATGCCCCATTCCCTGGGTCCATAACAGCTTCCATCCTATCAATCAGGGTGCTCCCTGGCTAAATGGCAGACCTCAGGCTGGGGAAGGAATAGTGCTCAGGTTTCTCACCTCCTGAGCCAGCACGGCCAGTAGTCAACTGTTATCTGCAGAGGTGCAGCACCACGGCCTTCGCCTGTGTTCCTGGATGCAAAAAGCTACCATATCTCCTAGGAGGGCAAATCCCACAAGGCCTGAGTTTGATGTGCTCTGAACACCACTCACCGGACCAACCTCGCTGTGAGGTGGAGGTTGTTTTAGCTCACTCCAGCTTTGCTGCCAGATGGGTAGAGCACGAGAAGATGCAAGATGTTACGCCCAGAAACCCTGGCCAGCAGGAGGAAGGGGTATCTGGGACTCCTGTCTTTCGCAGATTTGAATTTAAGCAAGTGGTGAATTTATACCACTTCCTCAGGCTTTGATGTTGAT